GCCTCAGCCTACCAAAGTGCTGGGATTACAGGCATGAACCACCGCGCCTGGCCGCTTTTTCTTTAAATCTAACTAGAATGAAGCCATAAATACTGTTCTATGATTTGCTCTTTTTAATACCACAATCTTCTATATCAGTATATATATAACTACCTCATGCATTTAAAGGTTGTATAGAAATTCATACTCTGGATTATCATAGTTTCTTGACCACTATGCTATAAAAAACTTGTAGCTAACCCAACTAACATTTTGGGGATGGTAGAAGGGAGTAGTCCAGGATTAGAGACATGGGGCCTCTTCTGCGGAATGCGTCATCCCCTGGGGAAGTGCTAACTCCAAACTCCTTCCTCACAGTGGTAAGGGTCCTAGGACTGTGCTCTGTGGTGTCAACATTGCCACAGCAGAGGGGAACTCCACTGGCTTCTCTAATATCCCACAGCCTTTCCACACAATCTGTATGAAGGTAGGATGGGAAACAAGATACAAACAGTAGATTCAATCCAAATTGGGGAAAACATACCTGAGGAAGGGAGGCTAATCACATACTAAAAATAATTGGCAATGATTTGAGAATGTCAAGTTCCAGAAAACAAAGCCCTGAAGGGGAGAGAACAGGGATCTTGCTGAAGCTCAGTAATTTCAGGGGGGGAAAAAAGCAAAAAGAATAGTGGATCCTAAAAAGTTACAACTTAATGCCAACACATAAAGGTATTTAGAATAATTAACAAGAAACCATCTTGGGGGTGCCTGTGAGGAAAGAAGTTAAAAAGAGGTTTGTTGGATCTTAAATTCTTAATTTTATCATTTTTTTCCTAAGGTTTTTATACACTGAATACAGAATAATCTACGCAGATTTCCATTTAGTACAATTTTTTCTTTTTGAGACAGAGTCTCGTTCTGTCGCCCAGGCTGGAGTGCAGTGGGGCGATCTTGGCTCCCGGGTTCATGCCATTCTCCTGCTCCAGCCTCCCGAGTAGCTGGGACTACAGGCACCTGCCACCAGGCCCGGCTAATTTTTTATATTTTTAGGAGAGACAGGGTTTCACCTTGTTAGCCAGGATGGTCTCCATCTCCTGACCTCATGATCCGCCTGCCTCGGCCTCCCAAAGTGCTGGGATTACAGGCATGAGCCACCGTGCCCAGCCCATTTAGTACAATTTTAAGGTGATTGGAAGATATCCAATACATGCAGATATTTTTAAAAATCTGACTAAATCTGATAGGCTGGGCATGGTGGCTCATGCCTACAATCCCAGCACTTTGGGAGGCTGAGTTGGGAGGGCTGCTTGAGCCCAGAAGATTGAGAGCAGGTTGGGTAATGTAACAAGACCCCATTTCTACAGAAAAAATTAAAAAATTAGCTGGGCGTGGTAGTGCACACCTGTGGTCTCAGATACTCAGGAGGTTGAGGTGGGAAGATCACTTGAGCCTGGGAGGTTGAGGCTGCAGTGAGCTCTGATGGTGTCACTGCATTCCAGCCTATGTGACAGAGCCAGACTCTGTCTTTGAAAAAACAAAAAACAAAAAACAAAAACTGACTAAATATGAAGGTAAGACAAAAATTAAGTTTTTTTTTCCAAATTGAACTAAAGTGTGTTTTGAGTCAGTTTCTTCCAAAAGAGCAATTTACCTTAAACGACTTAGAAAATGTCAACTACAAAATTTGTCAGAGAAGAAAATGAGGCTTTAAAAAAAACTTTAAATACTTTAAAGCCAAAGACTTTTTTTTTCTGTTAAATAAAAAGGACCAGCTGTGAAAACCAAGTGTAAAGAAGAGGTTAACCAGGTGGATGAAGCTGTAAGGCATTTCATAAAGGCAAGCCTATGAAACA